TTTTTTACTAAACGATAGTATTCAGCATGTGAAATGAAAAATTTATCAGGTTATAAAATCATCATTACAGTGTGATAAATATTCCATATAAAAAAATCTTCTATAGATCTACACATAATAAAGAATAAGCAATCAAATCTTTATATGCATATTGACATACATGTATTTTATTTCCTTCAGTATACATGTATACATTTAATAATTCTACAAATTCAGTCGGGGGAGCCAACTTTTTCCCTAAGCGGGGGACACAAATTCTCTGAATTAGCTTGTTTTCATAAGTACGGAAATCTCCAAGGTCAAGGTCAAAAGGTCAAAGTTTGTAGTATGCAGTGAAAGGTAATGCCAAAAAAATACATATGTGAAGTATGAGAGTACTAGTATATCTACCTTTTAAAAGTTATGGCCAAATAAAAAAATTGACATTTTTGTGTAAAATGGGATAAACTCCAAGGTAAAGGTCAAAAGGTCAAATTTGGTGGTACCCGAAGTAAGGTCTTGTCACACGAAATGCAAATATTAAATAAAAAAGTCATAGCTCCAATAAATGAAAAGTTATGGTCAAGGTTAAATATTTTGCGGACAAACAGACCGCCAGATAGACAGACATACAGACGGACACGATAAATTTATACACTCCCGAATCTTCGATTACGGGGACATAAAAAGAAATGGTCTTCAATTAACTTTTCATATTATGATACAATATAAAGAAGACGTCACGTTACAAAAATGAAAATGTTTGTTCTGATTTTCATATTAAATTCTCTGAAAAATATACTCAGAACTGAGTATTAGAGCGGAGTAAAACAAGAATTAAGAAATGTAAAGAATACTGTGTGCTCAATCAAAAGGTTATGTCTACATGTACAGTTTCTGCATTAGAATGTGTATTTTACACTAGCCCATAGCTTTGCATAGGTTATTTTTAGGTGTTATACCCACCCCACCCCCTTACTTATTTAGGAGGAAGTCGATTATCAACAAAAACAACAACAAAATCTACCCTTCCTTTATTTTTCTATAAGGAAGGACTAAAAATAAGCTTAAAATAATCTACTATTCTACTAGTTTTCAACTGTTACTTTGCCACAATACTTTCAAGTATACCACCATCAACATTTAAAGTATGCTTTAATCATGGCGAAGTAAATTGTGATATGATAGTACTTGTTTGAAGGCTTAACTTCATTTCAATATTTTATCTAGAGCCTCTTTCAGTATTGTTGAAAGGTATAGAGTTTTATTTCTATTTTTGCTTTTCATTTATTATTTTATTATTTTTTTTTTTTGATTTAACGTAATGTTCTTTTTTTGGGAGGAGGGGGGTTAAAAATTTCCTCCTCTTTCAATGTCAAATATAGGATTTGCCAAACTTATACAAGCTAAAAGTTGAAATGAAGAAAAAAAATTATTTTTCCAATTAAAGAGTATTTGAACCTGATTGTTGCATGGTTTGATTTCTAAAAACAAGTGGAATATCATACTTTAAGCAAACATTATAAGGAGGAATATTAAAAAGAAATTTAATTTACCTGACAATTAAAGAATCTCTTTTCAAACACATTTTTAGCCTTGAAAGACTACGTGAATTTCTTAATTATTTCATACGAGTTTTTGTATTTTTCTGGGTACAGAAAATGTAAAAACTAGTTTCACCTGTTATAAAGTTTGTATCACTTTAAAGGGGGTCATTTTTCAACGGGGGTCATTTTTTTATAGGACTCACATATAAAATAATGACCCCTAGGACACTTTTTTCTACAAAAAGTGATTTTTTTTTCTACGGGTGGGGGTCATTTTTTGTCGTTGAAAAATGACCTCCCGGTCATCATTCGATGGGGGTCATTATTCGTCTTTACACCGGCCATTTCAGCATTTCTAGTTTTGGGGGAGCGTGGGGTATGTGAGCTTGCTCACCTTTTTTTCATTGTTTTTGTTTTTTTTGGGGGGGGGGTGGTCCCATTCTGATAGCCTACACTCATAGGGGATCTTTGGCTCTCATTTATAATAAAAATTTAGGAGATAATTAACTTAAGAAGTAAAAAAAAAAATAACTGTTGATGTCTTTTAAAAAGCTTTTTCTCAAGAACCACTGGGCAAGAAATGTTGAAAAGTTATTTGAAAGCTCCACTGCACAGCTGCTGCATTAGAGTATTTTCAAGTTTGTTCAGATCATAGTGTATGTATAAAAGGAATCCCAATTTCCTGGTAATATCCACATCTCCACATTGTGTCCTAAATATATGCAAAGTTTGACGAAAGACTGTGCAGTGGCTTATGAGAAGTTGCGCTAACAATCTGTTCATTTCTATGTCCAAGTTATGGCTGAAAATCTAAGTTGAAAAATGCGGAAATTGATTCAAATTCCCGGGAAAAAATAAAGAAATCGGAAATTCCCGGTAATATGCATATCTACACATCGTTTCCTAAATATCTGCAAAGTTTGATGAAATTGTGTGCAGCATTTTATGAGGAGTTGTGTTGACAATCTCTATATTCAAGATATCCCCAAAAATATAAGTTGAAAAGTGCCTAAATTCCAAGAAAAATAAAGGAATCGGATTTTCCTAGTAATATGCACATCTACACACTGTGTCCTAAATATCTGCAAAGTTTGATGAAATTGTGTGCAGTGGTTTAAGAGGGGTTGCGCTGACAAACTGTTCATCTCTATATTCAAGGTATGCCCAAAAATCTAAGTTAAAAAGTGCAGAAATTTCCAGAAAAATAAAGGAATCGGAATTTTCTGGTAATATGCACATCAACACATTGTGTACTAAATATCTGCAAAGTTTGATGAAATTCTGTGCAGCGGTTTAATAGGATTTGGGCTGACAAACTGTCCATCTCTATATTCAAGGTATGCCCAAAAATCCAAGTTGAAAAGTGCGGAAATTCCCGGAAAAATAAAGGAATCGGAAATTCCTGGTAATATGCACATCTACACATTGTGTCCTAAATATCTGCAAAGTTTGATGAAATTCTGTGCAGCGGTTTATGAGGAGTTGCGCAGAAAAAAAGGACTGACGGACGGATCAATAACATTAAACCTCACGCAACTTGTTGCGTGGGGTATAAAAATACCCCTCAAAACTTGAAAATATTTTTTTGACTTTAAAAAACCACTAAAACTACATTACTCATTTCGTTAAGGGATTGTGTGCTTAATTAAGTCTATACTACTGATCAATAGCACTATTCAAGTGATTGAACACTACAATATATAATAAACCTGCACCCTGTATAAAACAAGTAAAGATCTGTCAGCAGAACCCATAAAATTTGTACCCATTCTGAATACAAGAGGGGGTACCCAACCAAGACCCCACCCTCCATGTACCTGATACTCCCTTTCAAGGAACCTGTTGATGGCCCTGCATTAGACTCACTTTAGCATATCCCTGGTACTCCACATAACTTACTATGAATGCTATATATACTGTGAAATCACTAATTTTCATGGCGGTTTAATTTTCGTGGTTTTCGAGGTATTAAAAGACCCACGAATTCATGTCCACCATGAAATATAACTTTTCACAGATCTTACCACTTAACAATTCTTCATCCACGAAATTAAATCCCTACGAACTCATTTTTTTTCTGTAAAGCATTAAAATTTGATCCCTCGAAAATATGTTATTTTACAGTAATCATCAAAATAAATCCACATTAGTGTTCTAAATATATTTAATATATAATAAATAAAGATGTATAAAAGTACAAATGAGATGGGAGAACAAGAACATATTGACAATCAGATGAAAAGAGAAACACTAAATAATAAAATAGACTACTATATATAATAATAATATTGTTCATTATCAAAAATAACAATACATGTGTTTGTGAAACATATGATGCCCTACGTGTATTAAGATAACAGCTTAGTCAAGTTTAAACAAATGTAAGCCAAAATCCAAGGTCCAGATCTAACATCTTGTTAGTCAAAGAAAGGTATTGTCAGAGACTTAAGCTCCACTTGTTTTATACTTAAAACAAAGGAAGAGAAAATTAGCATTTGAACTTGAAACTTTGCATCAGCATATTAAAAAATATATATCATTTGTTTAGTCTTTTCTTGGCAAGATTTATTGTAACAAGACCAAACTGTAGGAGCAGCATTTTTAATATATTTCAAAGAAATTTCCATTTATAATAACTATGGCAACACCTTTCATCGAAATGAAAACTGATACTAGTACATAGAAGTATGTATCTTAGTGTAGTCTACCTGTGTGCCAAGTAATATTGAAATCAGACTAAAAAAACAGAAGAGTAACATTTTGAAAATACATGTGTATTTCCAAAGAAATTTCTACTTTTAGTAACCATGGCAACACCATTCATCAAAATCATCAAAATCTAAAATCAATATACAGAATTAGGTATCTTAGTGTAATCTACTTGTGTGCCTTGAGTAATATTGAAATCAGACCAAAAGTGTAGGAAGAGTAGCATTTTGAAAATATTTCAAAGAAATTTCTACTTTTAGTAACCATGGCAATACCATTCATCAGAATCAAAAATCGATACATAGAATTATGTATCTTACTGTAGTCTACATGTGTGCCAAGTTATATTGAAATCAGACCAAATCTAGGAGGAGTAGCATTTGAAAAATTGTTTACAGAGAAATGGACAGACAGACAGACTGATGGTCAACAGATTCCTTACTATTGCAGTAGAGCTAAAAAACAGAAATATGAAAGCCATTGATCCAAACATTCAAATAATGGCCATTGTTTTAAAAATTTAGTCAAATTGCAAGGTTAAGAATAAAAGATCAAAATATTGTTGAAAGGTCACAGATGTTGGAATCAAAGGATAGGTTTAAACAGTAAAATAGGAAAGCCTAAGCACCCTAGGACTTATCACTAACGATTGAAGTTTTTCGAACTCCAAGGTGAAGGTCAAAAGGTCAGAAATAATGACATGAATTTACCAGTAATTAAGTTCTTGTCAATACAAAAAAGTTTTACCAGTAGCACCATTTGTTCAAAAGTTATAGCCAATGATAAAGTTTTGTAAATTACTGCAAAAGTGGGTGAAACTGCAAGGCCATCGTCAAAATGATTAAAATTTTGATGCGTTAGCTTAAGAAATGTCTTGGCAAAAGGAATACACAAGCTCTAACAAAACTAAGTGCAAAGTTTCTGCAAATAAACAGGCAGACAGGCCAAAAGCTATGTGCCCCTTGGCATTCAACTATGAAGACACAAAAATAGAAAAAGTGTTTGTAGAGCTCTAGATTGTTCACTTTAAAATTCCTATTACAGCCTTGGTCAACTCTTCTTTTCTGATATAAACTTGAGATTCTTCTGCACTTTCTGGTAAATTGACTTTAATTCATCTATTTTTAATCTGGATTTCTACAATTAAATAAAACATATCAAAGATTACAAAACTCTCCTCAATAAATGTTATCTATAAATAAAGGTAATACTTTTCATCAATATAATGTTCTAAAAGTGAACAATTCTCTTTGCTACAAGCATACAATAGCAAGTTTGGTTGGGTTAGAATTTATAGTTTCTTGAAAATGTTTTTAAAAAATGTTTCAATTATCAAAATTAGCAGTAAGATCATCAAAGTAAGTTTGATCTTGCACCCGAAGCAAATCTGGTAGTGTGCATCCCTGATGCATCGTCCAAGCAATTTTGGTTCTGGTAGGACTTGGGAATGGACCTGATAAAAAATTATCCAATATCTGAAGTAAATCTGTCGAGTGCATCCATAGATGCTTCAAGTGAACTATAAGTTTGGTCACTAAAGGGCTTATGTTATAGATCTCCATGCAAGTTTCATTTTTTGTATAAGTATATATCTACAAAATATTCTGCTTACCAAGAACATTGGCCTTATTTTCTTCTGGCCTGAAGTAGGGTCTTGATAAAGAATCGCAAGATATGTGGCCAACCTCTGCTGTTAAAAAGAGAATAAAAGCAGCAATAATTAAATAAATCATTCAACAAATAATTTTTTTTTCAAAAGTTATGTTACTGATAATTCAAATTTGTTCAGGAAGGTAGAGAATATGATGGACAAGATCAGGATTAACACCCCCTCTCTCCCTAGTCCCCTTTCTCATATCTACCAATCCTCCCTCCTTAAAAAACTTCACAAAAGAAGTCACTTCCAGGATGAAGCATTGCCATAGTATATGGGGGGGGGGGGGGGGGCAAAGGATCAAACCAGTGTGTTTTGGAACTCTAAAGAAGTCCTGGCCCCAGGGCCTGTACTAACTCAAGCCATTTGCTCTTGGAAGGTGAACCTGCCTGCATGACCATCAAACACTAGGGAAAATATTTTTAATCCTTTCTGCATTTGGGTATTTCTATAGCTGCAGAGCCATAACAAAATAGAACAAATATAAAACAAAGTGGCTTATACTGTTCACCAGCATAACATTGTCCTGTTGTTTTTTGTGTAAGATTTATATAGTGTAAAAATTTCTATGCATTATGGGCCCATTCTAACTCTCTGTGTCTCTGAAACCACACAACAGAGATGCTTAAATATTAAGACCAACATGAGCAATGCATGTAGTTATGGAGAAAACAATCCACTTTACTTACTTAGGCCTAGAAAAAAAATATGTTTGTTTCCGCTTTCAGGCTGAAAAAATATAGGGTAGGTAGGTAGGCAATTTCTTTTCTTTTGAAAAAAATTTTTTTGCTTCTTTAATCAAAACGTGTATAGAAGTAACATTAATGACAAAAGAAATGGTGTTTTCAAGCATTACTATGACTTAACTTATAATAGAAAGGTGACCCAAACTTCTTTCTGTCTTGAAAAGCTTGCAAAGTTGGAGGCTATAATTCCCTGGTTGAAATCTTGCATATCACGGGACAAAAGCATTAAAAAAATATTTAGGGTCGGCACTATAAATTAGGGTCGGTCGGGAAAGCGGAAACAAACATATTTTTTTTCTAGGCCTTACCCTTGAAAGGATACAAAAATAAAATTTTACCATGATTATAGCTTCCACAATCACTACATCTTGAACAAGCTGCCTTGGAAAGAACTCTGTATTTACTTGTCCCAATCTGTTAACACTGGAAACATTGATCCCAACTGCTGGCACTACTAACATGCTCTCTGTTAAAAAAACAAAAAATCATCATAAATTTCATTATTTCTAAGGTTGCTGCCATCTTCGCTAACCAAGGATTTCTGTTACGCTCCTCTCCTCATGATTATGAAGAGAGTAGCATATCAGAAACCCTTGGCTAGCGAAGATGAGGTTGCTGCATGATCATGCTTAGTGTCAATCTCAAAATAAAAAAAATTGGTATATACGAAAGAAGTATGTATGGAATATCAGTAAATTTTGATCTGTGATTTTCCTAAATGTAAACAAAACCTTACCAGATTTACTCTCAAATTTGAAAACCAACAGACATGCCAAGGTTGCTACACCAACATGAGAGGCCAGAATCTGTTAATGATAAATAATAACTGTTAAAATGTATGAAAATATTATGAATTCATTTATTTAAATAAACACACCTTTGCGTGACTAACTTCTTTTTAAAAACCTTCCCGGTGTGTGCTTACCCATTCTATTCCATGTTCGTACAGGCCCACTTTGGATGATATACAACATACAAACGCGTTTAAAACTGTAAGAATTATCAATAACTTAGCAGTTCTGCGTGGATAGATAAGTTTTACTTCATAATCCTTCTGCCATTTCATTTGAGACATTGACTAACGAGAAACTTTGAGTGTTCTACAAGACGCGCGTGGCTGTGATTGTTGACTTTCTACTTTCATTTTATCCGGTTCCCTTATAAAAGAAGGAATAGGGGCAGAGAACCAGTTAATCTTTACCGCCCTTCTCGTAAATCATGTTTTAAATAAATGTATCGATATCAGAAAATTGTAACGATTATACTTTACCCCGGAGCATCCTTAATTCCTATGCCTGCGATAAGAAGACAAAAACACCTCTGTGACTTTACTTACTAGATGAGCTAGTCTAAGTTATCTATCTTTAAAGATCAAAATATCTTCCTAAAATGTAGAAAAATGCTTAACAAAATATAAAAATATATTTTTAAAAATACAATTATATAAAATATCTACATTTCCTTTCAAAATAGGGGTAAATTTTCCTTATAAAATTGTAAACTTACTTAACTTTACTTTTAAAGAACTAAAAACTTTAACAATTTAAAAAAAAATAAATAGACTTTGGGAAAAATGTACCAATTCCTTCGCACGATAAAGAACCCTTTTTGTGAAATTTACCGGACGTATGTTCGTCCTGGTTTAAAAGCAGATAAATTAATAAGTAATACAACAATTGAACATGTAGAACCGAGTTAATTCGTCAAGATTTCGGTCAGATATCTATGATACATCCCCATTTCAGGTAATGTCAATATGTACGAAAAGTTTGTCAACATGCAAGAATCTTTATATCACACATTTGCCATTGTGACCTCCTATTTTACTTTTTGATCCAACATATATTTTGGGCTTCTCATAACAAAACATGGACACTGCCGTCATATTCATAAGGCAGGCGGGGGTATCATTTAGTGAGTTCATTGCTCACAGTATAAGCTATAGTTTTTTAAATTAAATGAAATATATTCTCGAAATGTACTTGGGTTGTCTCTCTTAGGTTATATCTGGTTGACACGATTCATCGATGATTGAATGCAAATATGTAAGATATATTTGAATCGTAACAATAAAATTACACTTGGTATTTGACGGAGAACAAAAACTTTATAATTTACAGTTTGATAAAAGATAATTTATATATATATATATACTTTCATTAATACCAAAAGCAGGTTGTAAGGTAAATACATACATAGATTTGCATAGATTTCTTTAACACTGAAAAATTCATATTTTTTCTTAACATATTGACATCTTATATCAAAAGATTGAAGACATTTAAAACAAGTAAAAATTGATGCAAAGCATCAAATCGACCGCACACAAAATTGAGCATTAAAAAAATTCTTTCACAATTTTAAAAGTGTCCATGCAAGGAAAGCACGTCAAGATATTCAAAAGTGAAATACATGTAGTTGAATTATTTTTATTTCAGGCTGTCTTCAAAGCAAAATAAATAATTTAAAAAAAAAATGAAACAAGCAAATTCAAAGAATTGTGGTCCCCCGCTTTCGGTGTCTTTGTTGGTGAGATGACATATCGTGTCTAATATGAACATCCTATCATATGTCATTTATTTAGAAATTATCATTGAAGTTGATTTTTTTGAAGGATGAAAACCCTAATCCTGACCGTTAAAAAGTTATGGCCAAAGTTAAAGTTTTTAAAAAGTAGGTCAACTCCAAGGTCAAGATCAAAGGGTCAAAGTTGTTGATATCCAATGAAAGGTCTTCTCACAAGGATTACATATGTGAAGTATGAAATCCCTAGCCCTTACCGTTCAAAAGTTATGGTCAAGGTTAAAGTTTTTTTCATAAGTACGTAAATATTTAAGGTCAAGGTCAAAAGTTCAAAGTTGTTGATATCCAATTAAAGGTCTTGCCACAAAGAATATATATGTGAAATATGAAAGTCCTAGTATCTACCGTTCAAAAGTTGTGACCAAGGTTAAAGTTTTTTAAAAAGTAGTTAAAACTCCAAGGTCAAGTTCAAACGGTAAAAGTTCTTGGTATCCAATGAAAGGTCTTCTCACAAGAATTACACATGTGAAGTACGAAAGCCCTAGCCCTCACCGTTCAAAAGTTATGGTCAAGGTTAATGTTTTTTCATAAGTACGTAAATCTCAAAGGTCAAGGTCAAAAGGTCAAGGTTGTTGGTATCCAATGAAAGGCCTTGCCACAAAAAATACATATGTGAGATATAAAAGTCCTAGTATCTACCGTTCGAAAGTTGTGACCAAAGTTAAAGTTTTTAAAAAGTTGTTTAAACTCCAAGATCAAGGTCAAAGGGTAAAAGTTCTTGGTATCCAATGAAAGGTCTTTTCACAAGGATTACATGTGCGAAGTACAAAAGCCTTAGACCTCACCGTTCAAAAGTTATGGTCAAGGTTAAACATTTTTCATAAGTACGTAAATTTCCATGGTCAAGGTCAAAAGGTCAAAGCTGTTGGTATCCAATGAAAGGTCTTGCCACAAAGAATACATATGGGAAATATGAAAGTCCTAGTACCTATCATTCAAAAGTTATGGCCAAAGTAAAAGTTTGGAATTTTTGTGTAAAAGTGGGTCAAACTCCAAGGTCAAGGTCAAAAGGTCAAATTTGGTGGTACCCAAAGAAAGGTCTTGTCACAAGGAATACACGTGTGAAATATGACAGTCATAGCTCCACTAAATCAAAAGTTATGGGCAAGGTTAAAGTTTTTGTGACTGACAGACGGACGGACGATTGAGATTTAATGTCCCCCCGCTTTCGCGAAAGCGGGGGACAATAAATCTATCAGACATTTTACCGCATTTGCTTATAAATAGATTCATCGATGTAAAAAAATGCCAATGATAAATGATAAGAATTTATTGTCATCAAAATGAAGATGTAGGCCTATCAAGATGAACCACGTTCTGATATCCTGGATCTTGGTCACGTGACAATGACCATGGTTTCTTCAAGAGAAGGCTATGCTGCAATTTAAGGCGCAGTGGAAAATGTAGAAAAAATTCCTTTGTGTCCTTTTGCAGCTTTCGAGCATAATCAAAACAATTTTACTAGATGAAAAACTTTTCAATTTTTATTCACCATGCACTTTTACCCGTCATTTTTATCCGGAAAATCACGACAATTTCCTTTCATATCTTATACACCCCCAAGTTGGGGAGTATCTATTGTAAACTCTTTTCACATAACCATAATTTGATTATCAATTATCTGATGAGAAATGATAATGAAATTGAAACATCGTTGACAACAATTCATACTAAGTTTAAAGCAATTTTTAAAAATATTTTACCTATGAGTTTTATTTGTTATCATTTGAGAATTATTTTACTGATCTTATAAAAAATAACTTCTCATTTCCCCATGTGCACTTTCTTCTAACACAACCACAAAGAGATCGGCCGCTGCTGCGGCCGATTATGAAATGAAAATTCTCAATGTTACAATGTTTAATTTGTTACTTTATTTCTTTTGTCTCTGTTTAGTGTTTACTTCGTTCGTTCGTTCTTTTTTTTTTTTTTGGGTTCTTTCCTTCTTTGACTTCTTGTTAAAAAACCCAAGATTTATATATATAGTATAGTATATAAATTCACGCTATTTTATTTTTCTCCTTTATTTGGAAATCTAGGTCCACAGGGGATGGTAACATATACTATATTCGATTTTATGTAATCACTTTACTTTTCGTATATATAATAGTGATTACGTAAACTTAAATACGATTTTACGTAATCACTATAGTCTGTTACCAGGTCTGAAGCTAAATTTTAGAACATTCTGGAAGAGACTGCAGCAAATGTCTTATGTATTGTCATGAGTTCTTTTTAAGGGGGGGGGATAAGCCCCAATTATCATGTAAACAAATTTAAATTTGATATTAGGAATGTTTATTATGTTCCCCAAACGAAGTTGGGGAACATATTGTTTTTACTCTGTTTCTTATTATGTTCCCCAAACGAAGTTGGGGAACATATTGTTTTTACTCTGTTTCTTATTATTATTATTTTTCTTCTTCTTCTTCTTCTTCCTGGGTACTTTTTTGTCCCGGAGTGATCTTGTAAACTACACATCCGACTTAGGTAAAACCTTTTTAGGGTTAGTAGGCATGTTATGTAGATTTGCGGAACAAAGGTCAATTTGCGCGCACGTGCTTGCAAGAGCGTGCACGTGCAACACGTGAAATGACCGATTTAATTGATATAGACGTAACTTTTGCCATTTTTGATGGAATGCTTTCAAACTCATAATATAAGGATATAATAGTAGGATAGAAAATATGACATGGTCAAAATAGCCAAATATCACGCGCATGCACGTGCGCTTTGCTCTGATTGGCTGAAGCTAAAGTCTCAATATCTTTCTTGTTTTTTGACGAAATCCTATGAAATTTTGAACATAGCCATGCATTACGATATCCTACAACATGATATATAGCAATTCTAATGAAAACACGTGCATGCACGTGCGCTACAATCTGATTGGCTTAAACTTTAAATAGCTATAACTCCCTTGGTTTTCTACCAAAGAGAATGGGATTTGGAACATACATAGATATAATGGACTTCGACAA